CTGTCTCTCGAGTGCTAGGATTAAAGACATGCGCCACTACCACCTGGCCACATAATTATTTAATATCACCATGAACAGCACTGTTTCCCATCCCTGTTTCCTTTGCCTCTTCTTTTCTGTCTGTGCTGGGATGGAATCACACGGCCTACCTTGTGTAGGCAGAAGTTTCCTGCCTTGGAGCCCCTCAGTCCCAAATACACAGCAGCTGCTTTCCAAATCACCACACAGAGGCTTAATATTACTGGTGGCTCAGGCTTATTATTGGCTAGCTCTTGCAACTTACATTAACCCATTTCTTTTAATCTGTGTATCGCCACATGTGATGCTTGACACCTTTCTCCTTTGGTGGCATCTGCTCCATTCCGCCTTCTTTCTCCCTGTAGCTCTGCTTGGGTTTCCTGTCTAGCTATAGTCTCTCTGCTTGGGTTTCCTGTCTAACTATAGTCTGCCCTGCCATGGACCAAAGCAGCTTTATTCAGCAATCAACAATAGCAACACACATTCGCAGCATCCAGGACATCCCACACCAACCTTGACTCTTCACTTTTCCCCCTAACCATTTACAAGTATAAGAACTACACTTTGTTTATGAGCAGGAGGGTCGTTTGGGCAGGGAAACTGGAATCTACCTGATGTAGAATATCAGTCTCCTGAAGTCCCTGTGGAGAAAGTTAACTGTCCTCATTTTCCACAGTAGAGCATCAGAACCTGAAGACTCAGAAGTGGCCTCTGCCTCCTCCCTTTCATTTGACAGATGAGCAGCAGAGAGGGAGGGGCAGGCTTCTAGGTCCCTTGCATGCAACAAAATGATGTCAGACTGGAGCACAGGCCTCTCCACTCCAGCCCTTTCTAGCACTCATCCCATTCTGAGTCAGATTTTACGATTATCTCCACAACCGCAAAACACTCCTGCCATGTGCTCACCAACAGCTCCTCTATCTCCAGGAAAGCAGACCTTATTTCATGCAAACATTTGGAAGGACTCAAGTTTTGGTGTTTGAGCCGCTTGCATCTGTGCAGTTGTAACGAACAGTGGGGTTGCATTGTGAGTAAGAGGCATTTTGATTGGTAGAGTGACATTGTGAGTGTAAGAGGTATTTTGATTGGGGGAAGTTAGGCGCAGACGAAGAATTGGCTAGGTGGGAAAACCATGTAAGTGCCTGTCTGAGTCACTGTTCTGCTGCTGTGAAGGGACGCAAAAGAAAGCGTCTAATTGGGGCCTTGCTTACAGTTTCAGAGATCAGTCCATGGTCAATGTGGCAGGAAGCGGAGCAGCAGGGAGGCACGGGACTGAGAGCTGACAACTGATCCACTGGCAGGCTTCTAGAATGAGTTTGGGCCTGGCATGAATTGCCCCCCCCCCCATGACACACCTCCTCCAGCAAGGCCACACCTCCTATTCTTTTCCAAACAGTTCCACCAACTTGGGACCAAACATCTAGATGAGTCCGTGAGGACTTTCTCATCAGACTACCACAGGGGCCGTAGAAGAGCTCTGAGGCAGTTTTCATTCTAGAATCTTGAGAATAAAGGGATGGCTACTGATGTGTAAACAGAAATTGTCCTTGCAGGTGAAGTGAAGGCCAGTGATCCTGACCAGGCCCCAGGTCTTTGAAGTTGCTGCAGAGACCACATGCCCAGTGACACACTGTGCTGGCCAAGTGACACACTGTGCTGGCCCCGTGACACACTGTGCTGGCCCCGTGGCATACTGTGCTGACCAGTGACATACTATGCTAGTCTGAATCTAAGCGTCACAAACTCAGTCCTTGTGTCTGTTAATCATCTCTTTGTTCTCTCCTAGACCCACAGCCACCCCAGCATTCAATAAAAGATGATTAAGTGATCAAAATTAGTCTTCAAGGGGGTAATCCTTGAAATGTGGATCTTTGGAATAGGTACCCTGAAATGGTACCTAATTCCAGCAGCACTGAAAGCATTCTTGAACATCAATAACAACAACTACCAAAACCTTCAAAGGATTGTCCAACCAGAAGGAGGTCACTTCACCCTCAGGATGACTGTCCACTCATCTTCTCTTTGTCTGTCACTTGAGCCTACGAGATTTGTGTGCCGTGTGTACAATGAGTTCTCTGACAGCATCGCCCTCTAAACTTTTACATGACAGAAATTCAACCCTGGGAAACTAATATTTCTGAATGACTCAGAGGTACTCAGAATGTAGACATTTATAACGGTCCTAGGAGTAAGAAATCCCTGGAATAATTTGTTACCTGTGCACTCAATTTCCTTGCGACGTTCCAGTTCTCAGCTAACATGCATCAAACCACCCCACTATCTCTTAGGCTGTTTCCTCCATTTTGCAGATAATGCCCTTGGAAGTTAAATGACTTCTCGTCAGCATCACTTGGACAGTATAAATGGACACTATGTACTATTTCAGGCTTCTTTGCTGCTATTTGCCAGATTAATACTGGTTAGATGAAGCTAGATAAAAGTGTGGACCTTTGGCCTGGGTGACTGTTACGGATTTGCTGTTCTCTGCTGCCCTCTGTTGATACGAGAAAGGGAGAGCAGGTTCCAAGCCCAATTTTGCTCATGTTCTAGAACCAGTAGTGTTAAGGTGCCTTTTTAGAAATCTGAATCATGGGGTCCCACCTCCACAAGACTGCCTTAGAAGTCAAGGGGTTGTGAATTGGCAGTCTGTTCATTATACTGCAACCTGAAATCATTGTTCAGTTTTCGGTACTAATTATCTGGCACACACACACACACACACACACACACACACACACAAAACAAGCAAAAACAAAACAAAACAAAACAAAACAAAACAGCCTCTCCTTCCACATGGCTCCTGTCCTCAGTCTCAGCATGCAGTATATAACAGGAGACCATATCAACAGTACCTTTACCTTCTGATGGGAGTCTAGGACCACCTGTATGCTAGTCAGCTGCCCCACAACTACCCGGCTATCTCCCCTGTTCTAGCTGCGTTCTTTTCTGTTTGTTTGTTGAGACAGGGTTTCTCTGTGTAGCTTTGGAGGCTGTCCTGGCACTCACTCTGTAGACCAGGCTGGCCTCGAACTCACAGAGATCCGCCTGCCTCTGCCTCCCAAGTGCTGGGATTAAGGACATGCGCCACCACTGCCTGGCCGTCTGCATTCATTCTTGCAGATGGCTATGGAGCTGTGAAGTCAGCTGGAGAGGGACAGCATACCCTGTCATCTGAGACAGAGGTGGCAAAGGCTCCTAAAACATCGCAGCACTAGGTCCTTGGGCTTGAAGTGTCGGGGTTGGGCTCAGACTCGAGGCTTCCGTTTGGGCGTCCATGCCCAGGGCTTCTTCGGTCGCCCTGCAGCAGGGCCCCTTTGTTGTGGGGCTGTCCTTCCGGTGTCAGCAGGGGCTCTGGGCTCTCCCCACTAGATGCCAGGAGCATGCCACCAGAGGTGTGACAATGATAAGTCTCTCCAAGTGTTGCTAAGCATCCCTCTCCTACAGCCACCACATAAATAGCTGGCTGGCAATTTTTGCATTCTTTGGAGGCAATTTCCAAACAAAACCTTTCCTTTTGCTTCTAGGTCATTGGGGTCAAAAACACCAGACTGAATATTGTTCCCCCAAAATACCTCAAAATGATCAGCTATTCTATAATACTTTCTAGTATTCGGGGTGTAGCCAGTTGTCCCCTAAGCTATTGTTCATGGCCGTTCCCCGCCCCTGTCAAGGAAGATCCAGTTTGGACTCCAGTCTCACCGGGTTGCTGTTAAGTCCCTGCTGGTGTAGAACAGTGTCTCTCGGGTCAAGTGTGGTCCACCACGTGCTTTTGAAGGAGAACTTGGAGGGAGACTACAAACCCACAAAGGCTGAGAAAAAGTCCACCGACTTGTGAACTAGACCCTTCTCCCTATTTATAATATGGTGTTGACGGCTCAGAATCAAAGACAAAGGGGGCGGAGAGATGGCTCAGTGGTTAAGAGCACTGGCTGTTCTTCCAGAGGATCCAGGTTCAGTTCCCACACCCACGGCAGCTCACAACTGTCTAGAACTCCAGATCCAGTGGATCTGATACCTTCACAGCAACTTTACTATAAAGTTAAATAAATTATTAAAAAAAAAGAACCACCAGGCTTTGATAGCATACATATGCCTTTAATCCCAGCACCTGGGAGGCAGAGGCAGGCAGATCTCTGTGAGTTCGAAGGCGGCCTGGTCTACAGAGTGAGTTCCAGTACAGGCTCCAAAACAATACAAAGAAACCTTGTCTCAAAAAAACCAAACCAAACCAAAACAAAAAACAAATAGAAAACCACCTCCCTTATTTAGTTAGATTTCTTTTTCTGTGCTGGAAACAGAAGCAAAGACTTTGTGCATGCCAGACAAGCGCTCTGCTGCTGCACTGCAGTCCCGCCCCAAACTCTTTACGTGTTGATCGTAAACACGTGTATGCGTGTGATGGGGGGGTGGGAGGGAGAGGGAACTGGGATTGATATGTAAAATAAGATTGCTTCTAATTTAAATAAAAAGAAGTAGCAAAAATATTTATACATTAAAATTTTAAATTAAAACTTTATCACACACACACACATATTTTTGAGACAGAGTTCCAAGTAGTTCTAGCTGGCCTCAAACTCTCTATGCAGATGAGGCTGACCTTGAACTCCTGGTTCCTCTTACCTTTCAAGGGTTGGGATAAAAGGCATGAGCCATGATACCCAGCTCTTACGACAGAAAATATTGGGGCTGGAGACAAGAGCACTGGCCACTCTTGTAGAGGACCCAGGTTCAGATCCCAGCACCCACACAGTGGCTCACAACTCCAGTTCCACACCACCCTCGTCTGACTCCCGTGGGCACCAGGCACACGTATACATGTACACGCATGAAGGCAAACACTCACACACACACAACAAATCTCAAAAAGTTATGAGATTATTCTTGTTTTCTGGGTGGCATTAAAGGACTTTTCCGTGCTAAAAATCATAAATGTAACTGAGAAGCAAACAATACGTTAGAAAAATAACACCACTACCAAGGGCTCCTCTTAACCCACATTTTATTTTTTTCAGGAAGGAGAAAAAAGAATGTCATGTCTAACATATGGCACAGGATCCTTGATCATTTCCTGTGTGATTTTTCACACAGAAACCGGTAGGAAAAGAAGTGGCCTACCTTAAAAAACCATAGCATACGATTCCACATAGGCACCCTGGCCACACACCCCAGCATCCACCATGAGCCAGGATGTACACAACAGCACACCAACTCTGAGTGCAAGACCAAGTCTCAGCATCACGGTTGCTATACAGAAAAGCACTAAATAAATGTTCCTGGATAAATGAACAGATAAGTATGTCATTCAACTAGACATGAGAAGTTTTCACCCTGATAAAGTAATCACACCAGCTTATTAGTCTTTAATGAGTATAACATGTATACACACACACTGTACAAAAAGCTTGTATTATCTTTCTGTCAGGAGCTCAGGCACTTTCATTTAGATGGAGGCTGGTCTTCAGGTCAGGACTAGCACATGGTTATGTAGCCTCCTCTCCCGGTTAACCCAGAACCTTCAGGAGCAATGTCCTTCCCCTCCCTCTTCAGACACAGCGTGTGCATCCTAGTTACAGTGTGAAAACCAAGACACAAATGGGAGAAAACACTAAGACGTGTCATCCCTTCTCTAAAATGCCATGCAATGAACCTCCTAAACCATGGTACATACTTTACAACAATCCTTCGGAAACAGCAGTTACCAGTGACATGTTTCTGCTCGGCTCACGTAAACACACGGGAGCGGGCCCCTGGTCAGAAATAAGGCTGAAGACTTAGGGCATTCCTGGCTCGCTGTGCAGCAGCGGATCCTTCTCCCGGTTTCCCTGGGAGAACGGGGCTTTCGCGTGGCTGAGGAGAACTCTTAGGCTTTTGCTTTTGACCGTCTTCCCGGGGCCGTTTCCTATGGGCTTGTATGCCTTGTGTTTTCTGAAAACAACACGTTGGACACAATTTTTAAAAACACCGTCAGCCGAACGAAATTCCTTTCTACAGTGTTTTTCATGCCAGGTGCAAAAGAGCTAACCATCCAACCCAGTCTGTCGCTTGGGACACCCCCACATCTTAGAGGAGTACAGCTAGTTTCTCTCCAGGCAGGAAGTGCCCACTTTGAGGTTTTGTTAGACATCACATAAACACAATTCTGCCAAGTTACTGACATCTGGCAGCACTTTAGGGTTTAAAACAAACAAATCCAACACCACAGTAAAATGAATAGGTCCCAGTTTGGTACTCATGGTTCAGTGGAAAAGTTTCTTCTCATGCACAAATATTTAAATGGAAAAAAGAAAATGGCATGTTCGTGTGGAAGAATGCTACTTGCCTTTGACTACCCGCTATAGAGATGTGCAGTATTAAAATGAGAAACTTACTTGTATAGCAAGATACCGGTAACCATGGTGACAAACAGGGCCAGGCAGCTGATGGAGATCAAGGCACCATTCGACATTCTCAGAGGGGAGGCTGGGTCTTAAAGCAGAAGGAAACCCACGTGAGCTGCGTTCGTTCGGTGGGAGGACTTGTGACACCGTTGAATGGGAAGGGGCTCTGCAGCACTCCGGGCTTTAGGTTTCCTTTCCCATTAAACGATATATATGTAGACCGTGGGTTGAGCATACATCGGCAGGCATGGAAAAATGTCACAGTCTGGTGACACCCTCTCAGGACTCTGCTGAGCCGTTGGCACCTGGGTGCTGGCAGGCTCTTCGGCTCCGCTGTGCTGGCCTCTGGCCTCATCTCACCCTGCATGCCTGGCCCTGTGCTAAAAGCCCCGGAATTCTGTGAAACCCACATGGCCCCTGCTGGGACTTCCCTTCACCTTGGGCTTCCACGATTCTGGTGCCTTTCCAGCATTCCTGAGGGCACCAGCCAGCCCTTCTTGTCATGACCCTGCCTGCCTCTTCCTATTCCTGGGTCACGCGGCGTCATTATTTCCTTTCATGTCTCTCCTGTACTGCAAGGGCCACAAAGGCAGGGACTTCGTCCTCTCTCTTCTCTGTAACCAGCAAACCACTCACTTCTGTGTCCACCCCATGTATCCAGGTAGCTAAGCTATCTCCAGCTGTTTTGCCCCAGCCGCTCTCCACCCACCAGGCTCGTCCTAGGAGGTCCTCTTTGTTCACTGAGGCTACTCTTAAAATCGTGTCTTCACTGTGTGCGCGTGTTGTGGAATTTTACTTTAACCGTGCAGAGGTGTGTTTGTGCTCCATCTCTTTAACGGTGTAAGGATGGATAGGTTACATTTGCCTATGCCGCATTTGTTGAATTACATAGGATGCGTTGCTTTTTCACCTTGTCTGCCTGAGGCACCTGATTGGTATAATAAAAAGCTGAACAGCCAATAGCTGGGCAGGAGAGGGATAGGCCAGGGCTGGCACACAGAGAGAGTAAATAGGAGGAGAAATCTAGGCTTGAGAAGAATGAGAAAAAGAAGGGAAAAGAGAACAAGGAGGGACTGCCCAGGGCCAGAAACCAGGCAGGGGCCGGCCAGACACCAGAGAGAGCAGGGAAGTAGACACACAGAGAGAAGAAAGGTAAAAATCCCTGAGGCAAAAGGTAGATAAGGAGAAACAGGTTAATAAGTTAAAGGGAAAAAACTAGCCTAAGTGAGCCTAAGCTAGGCCAAGCATCCACAACTAATAAGCCTCCACCTCATGATTTGGGAGCTGCTTGGTTCAAAAGCCTGGTACATTCGTGTGAGATCTTCTCACCCGCCAGGGCCTCGTCCTTGCTTACAGAGTGAAGCTTCAGCGACCCCAACAGCGGCCTAAGCGTGCTCTCACTGGTTAGACTTAGGTCTTAGTCAAGGAGGTCCTCACCATGACGGCACCACTGAGTAGCAAGACTTGTCCCCACACCCCACCTAGGGTGCTCACCGCTGGCCTCACCTCCCACTCCACACCCACTCCTCCCTCCTCTGATCTGGCTGTGTTCCTCAAACCGCCATCTTGCTAATGTGTTTACTGCTGTGTTAATCTAAGGCTGATAGATGTTCCGAGTTCTGACCTAACTGACAAGTTCATAGGTGAGCAAATGCCAACGTCTTACAAGGATATTTTGTAAAAAGACGAAAACCAAGGGGGCTGGAGAGATGGCTCAGTGCACCAATTGCTCTTAGAGGCTTTGGGTTCTCTTCTCAGCACCTACTAACAGTAACTGCAGTTCCAAGGGGATCTGCTGCCCCCTTCTGGATTCTGCAGGCACTGTAGCCATGTGGTATACATGACACACACACACACACACACACACACACACACACACACACACACACACACACACACACACCTCCCCCCTGAGTTTCAGCCAATCCCAAGCGGCTTAATTGATTGACTCCAGGCCTCAATGAGAAGCAGTCCGCGATGGCTATCCCTGGGTCCTGGCAGTCTTTGCAGGGTGCTGTTCAATGGGGGCCTCCTTTGAATCTCTTCTGACTCCAGAGTTGCTCAGTTTTTAAACTGAATTGGTCTAAACATTTTCCTATAACATCTGTCATTGCTCAGGAAAGGGGGTCTTCTTGTTTTGTTCATTAGCCAGTGTAGACTTCTATCCTGTGCAGAGATCTGTGCTGGGCAGCAAAGTGGACAGCTGAATGACCACAAGCCACTAACAAGAATCTCAGCTTAAGTGTCAGGCATCAGAGGACTTTCATTTGAACTATGACTAGTTCAGAAATTCTGATTTTGAAATTCAAGTTACCAAGTTAGAAGACTTACTGAATTACAGTTTTTTTCTTCTGATTTTGTGTGTGTGTGCGTGTGCATGCTTACATGTGTGCACATGTGTGTGTGAGTGTGCACACCCTTACATGTGTGCACATGCTTGTGTGAGTATGTGCACATGCTTACATGTGTGTTCATGCTTGTGTGTGCAAGCTTACATGTGTGTACATGCTTGTGTGTATGAGTGTGTGCACATGCTTACACGTGTGCACTTGTGCATGTGTGGCAATGAAGGACAGCTGCAGATGTCATTCCTCTTTGGCTTGGAATTTGGCCATGTATGTTAGAATAGATGGCCTGTGAGCTCTCAGGCCTGTCTCCACTTCCCATTTGACCATTGTTGGGAGTGTGGGGTACAGTACCACTCCTAGCTTTTTATGGGTTCTGATGATCTGAACTCTGGTCCTCATGTTTGCAAGGTCAGCATTTTAGTGACTGAAATCTCTCTCTCTCTCAAGATTTTGCAATGGGCTATGTTCAAGTGGTCCTTGAACTTGCAACTCTTCCTGAGTGTTGGGAGTATAGGCATGTCCCACCATATCCCCTCAAATTTCTCTCTTTTTATTTATTTTTTCTTATGATGTTTGAGGTGGAACCCAGGGCTTCATGGCCTCACCCATGCCAGGAAAGTACCCTACCACTGTGCTCCACCTCAGTCCCCTTTACTTGGTTTTTGACAACTGGTTTAGGCCATCTAAAGTGATCACTCACTGGAACAAAAATCACAGATGCTAATAGTTAAACTTACAAACCTTGCAGGAGATCAACAGTTTGCCAGCACAATGAAACAAAATGGAGTAAGCTAAGATGCTTTTCTTCTTTTTGGTTTTTTGAGACAGGGTTTCTCTGTCTAGAACACTTGTTGTTCTAGAACTCTCTCTGTAGACCAGGCTGGCCTTGAACTCACAAAGATCCGCCTGCCTCTGCCCCCTAAGTTCTGGGGTTAAAGGTGTGCGCCACCACAACCCAGCAAGCTAAGATCCTAAAGATAATTCTGAAAGACATGGAGTTGGGGCAGCCCTAGCTCCACAGCTCCTGGAGGTCAGGACAGGGAAATAGTCAGAGCCATGGCTGTTTTCATTGCATCTGTCTCCTCCCCAGCTCCCCGGCAGGTGCCAGTGTGCCCTGTCCTGGAGGAGGCAGGATGCTTTTGCAACCTTGTTCTTAAGACAGGCTTCTTTCTTTCTTTCTTTCTTTCTTTCTTTCTTTCTTTCTTTCTTTCTTTCTTTCTTTCTTTCTCTCTCTCTCTCTCTCTCTCTCTCTCTCTCTCTCTCTCTCTTTCTCTCTTTCTTTCTTTCTTTCTTTCTTTCTTTCTGACAAGTCTCACTATGTAGACTTGGCTGCCTGGAACTCACTCTGTAGACCAGGCTGGCCTCAAACTCACAGAAATCCACCTGCCTCTGCCTCCCGAGTGCTGGGATTAAAGACACGCACCACCACGTCCAGCCTACTACCAGTTCTTAAATCCTTATTAACAAGAATTCAAGGAATCTTGCTGTGAGATGAACATTGCTAGTGAAGCCTTTGAGGGCTTTCCTATTGGGTGTATCCTGCAGTAGGAAACGATCATAAAATTATAAAGCAAACCTCACCTTTGCCAGGGACAGAGATCAGGGTGCTGGTGAGGGCCAGGCTTGCGTCATCACCCAGAGTGAAGTTCACACAGTACATGCCAGGCCCACTGAAGGCTCTTCTCACGGAGAGCAGGCACGGCTGGCCCGTGTGCACTGGACTGCAGACCCTGTTCTGGGCTGCCTGGCAGGTGGGGTCGGAGGTGATGGTACAAACTTCCGTGGGGGTGCTGTGACATGGAGCAGGGGGAGACACACAGATCACAGGAGGAAGGAAAGAGCGCAACGCCGGGGTTTGTGGTGTTGCTGGTATTGAGGGGTCTTGCTGTTTTTGAAACGGGGTGTCACACTGTTGGCCTGGAACCCATGGTGATCCTCCTGCCTCAGTTTAAGTGCTAGGATTATAGGCATAAGACAGTGTACATGCCTTTGTAATAGCAGTTTTAAACACAGGCTTTTTGCTTTCCTTTCCTTTTTTCTTCTCTCTCTCTCTCTCTCTCTCTCTCTCTCTCTCTCTCTCTCTCTCTCTCTCTCTCTCTCTCTCTCTCTCAGACAGAGCCTCATGTCGCCAGGTTGGCCTCAGACTCACTATGCAGTTAAAGATGGCCTTGAGCTTCTGATTGTCCTGCCTCCACCTTTAGAGTACTGTAATTACAGGTGTGTATCCCATGTTCTGTTTTATGCAGTGATGGGGATCGAACCCGGGGCTTTGTGTATGCTCAGATGCCCTCTACGCTGGCCCTCCCCCCACTCACTACACAGTGTATGTTCCCCTGCCTTTCTTAGCCTCTTGACTGCTGGGATTACAGACGTGCACCCCTTCTCCCACACCCAGCTCGTCTGAGGTTTCTGATGTGTAGGATCTTGAATCAGCTTCAAAGGGATGACTAGAGGCCAAGCCCTTTATTCAGACTTGGGGTCCTCACTTGGCCCTTTGTCTGGCACGGCACCGTACTTACGCCCCTTTGCAGGTCACGATGAAGTCCATCAGGGAGTCATCAGGCTGTGGCACTGGGACATCTGCTACCTGGATGATGTTGACTTCTAGGATTCCCTCTAGTAAAACAGCCACCATAGAGAAATGTTAAAACACAATGGAAACCATTCTGCCATAGACTCCTGGGTTGAAATCCCAGCTCTGTTGTAGTGTGAGGGGGCAAAGCCTCTATTGGAGATGTGATCGGCATCCTTATGGAGAGACCCCAGGGAGCCCCCTTGTCCCCTCTGCATGTGAGGACCCAGTAAGGGGGTGGCCTTCCGTTAGCCAGGAAGTGCTCCTCGCCATCACCAGATCTGACATCCAGCCTTCAGGACAGCAAGCAATGGACCCCACTGTTACATGCTCCCAAGCCTACATACCCTACTACAGAAACGTAGACAGACTGAGAGATGCCCCTTAACAAGAAGGAAAGACAAATAGTGACAGCCTTCTTACTAAACAGGAACCCACCAAACATGGGAATTTATCCCCAGAGTTTTGCATTCATGTCCACGCAGCATTTTCATAGTCGCAGGAACCTGTTCTGCCCAAGATTCTTTGCTCTAGAGCCTGGTGCATGCTAGGAGGTGGCACCCCTTTCTGGGAGCTGGCTTAGGAAAAGATGACTGGGCAGATGCTGCCCCCACGTCACAGGGCGACCAGCTCCTGTGTCATAGGTGGCTGATCCTGTTCCCAGAGACAGTGCACAGCCAAAGCTTCTAGCTCTGTCTCCAGAAACATGGATGCCCAGGCTGGGCTGTGGCGCCTCCTGTTTTGTCTGCTGGGACCTTGGGGCAGTACCTGAAGTGTGCAGCCCCGTGTGGTGGCCGGCTCATTCCCCTTTACAGGCAGAAAGGAGTGACTTTGTGAAAGTCACGGTGGAAAAAAGGGGCACTCCATGCTGGCTGTCTTTCCCCCAGCCATTGAGGCTCTGGAGGCTCACATGGGATCCAAGCCCAGGCTCTTCGGCACATGGGCTGCCCCAGGGATGAAGCTCCACTAGCAAGCATGAGGCAGGCAGGTGGGTGAGCGGAGCATGGAGACCACGAGACGTTGCTGTCCACGTTTGCATCACCTTGGACAAGACAGGCGACCCTGCTCCCTCATCTCTACCCTCCCAGGGTTAGCAATGCGAATGGGTGGCGTCCTTCTCCATTGCTCTTTAGCCTTCCTTACCTACAACAGTGACGGTGGCTCTGAAGTAACCGTATCTGTTTATCTGGCAGTTTTCACCGGAAATGCCACTCAGCTCCATGGGGTTGTCACCTGTAGGCACTAAAAAAGTTCAAGTAATAAAGGTTTAAAATAAATAAGGACTGGGAATGTAGTGGAGGCACCATGATATAACAAAAAATAAAGTCGTTTGCCCGTCTGTTCTTTATTATTTTTGTTTTGGTGGGTGTTTATCTTTTTCCAGACAGGGACTCATGTAGCCCAGGCTGGTCTAAACTCACTATATCGCCCAGGCTGGCCTTAACTCCAGATCTTATTACCCCTGCTTTATGTATTTATTTAATTATTTATTTTTGTTTTTGTTTTGTTTTGTTTTTCGAGACAGGGTTTCTCTGTATTACTTTTGAGGCTGTCCTGGAACTCACTCTGTAGACCAGGCTGGTCTCGAACTCACAGAGATCCGCCTTCCTCTGCCTCCCGAGTGCTGGGATTAAAGGCGTGCACCACCACCGCCCGGCCTACCCCAACTTACTACTTGGTATTGTAAGTGTGAACTGTCATGCCGAAGGCACCATCTGCTCCTACCTCCATCTTCCCTGTAGAAGAAGCCAGGCATGATGGCACATGCCTTTAATCCCTGCACTCGAGATTGTGGATCCAAGGCCATCCCAAGTTCCAGGACCAAACCAAACCAAGCATCAAGAACTCCAGAGCTTATAAATTAAGGCAGAAATTTGAAGCAAATGTGTGTAGATTCCTATAGACGTAGGCATTCTGGCCATGTATGTCCATAAAGAAGCTGTAGGGAGGTTAGCGAGCAGAGAAAGCCCTGAGTGAGTGAAGTCCTAAGGGAATGTGTGTTGTTGACATGGGCACAGCCAGATCAAGGACCCAAACTCCTCAGATCCGTGAGAAATGCAAAGCCTTCCTCAGAGGTCCAGGCGTGAGTGCTGACGGTGTGTGCAGAAAATGCCCACCAGAGCTTACTCCCCCAGGTGCGTACAGCCTGAGGCCTGTCCCCTACAAGACTTCTCCTACTGAGCTAAGCCATTTGTCTGCAATAACCCTGCGTCTCTCTTCACCTGTATATAATAAGCACGCTGAGCTTTGACGGTGCTGGGGCTTCTCTGTCAGAGAGACCAGACGACCAGACCCCAGCTTTCTGTCTAAGTATGCATCTGTCTGTCTTTTCTTCTTCCCTCGACATCTAATCCGGTCAAGTCCCTGGAGGCAGAGCAAGGACTCAGCGGTAGTATCTCCTCCCTTTCTGGTGGAGCTGGCGATGGGAACCAGGCGAGCACTGGGCTGCTGAGCCACACCCAAGTCCAAAGCACAGCCCCAGACATTTTTAAACTCAGGAAGCCAATGAAAAGTGGAAGCCCTATGAGGGTCCATGAACAGGTCATGGTAGAGAAGTCTCCTTTCCACTTGGATGCCAGTGTCCTGGCCTTCACACAGCTCCCCTCGTTAGTTCCACACGCCAGCTCCCCTCGTTAGTCCACATGCCATGCTCCCCTCGTTAGTCCACGCCATGCTCCCTCCCCTCGTTAGTCCACATGCCATGCTCCCCTCGTTAGTTCACACGCCAGCTCCCCTCGTTAGTCCACGCCATGCTCCCTCCCCTCATTAGTTCCCACACCACTTAGCTCATCTTTGCTTTTATCTGCTCAGCAACAAAGCAGCTCATATTACTGTCCCCCTGGGTCGAACAATTTAAACTGAACTGAGATAAGGCGCATGCAACCTTCTCTGCCGTGTGTGGGGTTCATGCCCTCTATCCCAGTACACAGGAGGCTGAGGCAGAGGGATCGCTGTGAGCTTGAGACCAACCTGAGCTGCATAGTTAAGTTGGGTTACCATGTGAGACCTTGTCGTAAACAACAAAGCCAACCGAGGTGTTTTGAGTGAGATGACTTTCCTAAGTCCTAAGTCACAAGGCATTTGAATACTTGGTCCCCAGTGTCTGTCTGGGAAGGATTAGAAGGTGTGGCCCTGTTGGAGGAGGTGTGTGGGGTGGGGGGACTTGAAGTTTTTGTGTTTTTTTTTTTTGTTTTGTTTTTACGAGACAGGGTTTCTCTGTATTGTTTTTGAGGCTGTCGGTCCAGCCTGGCCTCGAACTCACAGAGATCCGCCTGCCTCTGCCTTCCAAGTGCTGGGATTAAAGGCGTGTGCCACCACTGCCTGGCCGGGGGGACTTAAAGTTTAAAAAGTTTCTTATCATCCTCAAAGTGCCCTTTGCTTCCTGTTTGAGTTGGCAAGTCAGCTGCTGCTCTAGTAGTGACCTGCCTGCTGCTGCCTGCTGCCCGCTGCCCGCCGCCTGCCTGCCATGCTTCCCATGATTATCGTGACGGGCTCCTGTCCCTCTGAAACTGTAGCCTCCAAATGAATCCTTTCTTCTATAACTTGCCTTGGTCATGGTGTTTAATCACAGCACCACAAAAGTAACTAAGACACCAACCAACCACCTAACCTACAAACAATAGCCAAAACAAATAGTGCAGATCAATCGCGCAGAACGCAGCTCCTCGTACGGCTACCACATATGAAGTACTTCTCAGTTACTGGTTCAGCAATGCAGGAAACGGTAATCCTTTCCCTATTTGGGTAAGCAAATGTATAAGAACAAGGTTTTAACATAAGACATGAATAAGTAAGAAATAGGAAGAAACCACATTTGATAAAGTGTTGGTCATGCAAGTATGCAGACCTGGGTTCAGATCCCCAGCACCCACATAAAGCTGGCTGCAAGCCTGTAATTCCAGTGCTGGGGAAGCAGAGACAGGAGGACCTCTGGGGTTTGCTAGCCAGCAAGTCTAGCTGAATAGGAAAGCTGTAGGTTAAGTGAGAAACTGTCTCAAAACTAGGTGGCAGACAATTGAGGAAGACACTTGTCATTGGCCTCTGGCTGCTGTGTGTACAAAGACATGAACCGAATCAGTTGTGAATTGAGCAAAGAATCTAATGCCATACAATTTAAAACTTGTTGGCCGGGCGTTGGTGGCACACGCCTTTAATCCCAGCACTCGGGAGGCAGAGGCAGGCGGATCTCTGTGAGTTCGAGGCTGGGCTGGACCAATAGCCTCCAAAACAATACAGAGAAACCCTGTCTCGTAAAAACAAAAAACAAACAACAACAACAACAACAAAAAGACAGTAGGTGTGGTGCACACTTGTAATCCAGACGCAAATTCCTGCGGCTGGCCACATAGTAAGACCCTCTTAAAACAACAGAAGAAAGAAAAAGAGAGAATCCCAGCCCACAACTCTAGCAGAATACTCTTGCTGTATGGGACACCAAGCTGACATTAGGAGCCCCAAGACTGAATAGCCCAGGGACCTAGAATAGAACCAAACATGACTGGCAAACAAAAACAAAAACAAAAACAAATCAGTGATTCCTAATACTGGTCTGATGTTCTGCTACGCTCACAGATTGGTGCTTGGCCCGACTGTCACCAGAGGCTTCACGCAGTGGTTCCTCAGCAGGACAGGTGACCACAGACACCCACGTAGTCTTTCCCGACGGACTCTAGAGCAGGAGGTTGGTCTGTGTGAGGCTTTTAAAAATCCTACTTCTTCCCCTAAGAGCTGTAGGATCCCTTCGTTTAAGTTCTGGGTGAGCAGAATTTAGCCGTCAGTTTGAGTACAGAACCATGACTCTGTTGTATTTTAAAGCAGAATTTCTTTAGGAAAAAGACAATGAAAGTCAGTGGTCCTGCTTTAGGTAGAATTATATAGATGCACATGGGATTTTGCAGGTGTTGGATCTGTAAAGTCAGGATTTGTGAAAGGATCAGTGCAGAGAAATGAAGACCTTAAAGGACGGATGAGAAGAACTAAGTACTCTGATACCCAGAGATTGATGTGACAGGTGCTGACTGTGAATGTAGGAACGTTGTACACAGTGTGAAACCACATGACACGGTAGGATATGTGAGCATGTGTGTATGTGAGTGTGTGAGCGTGTGTGAGTGAGTGTGTGAACTTGTGTGTGAGTGTGTGTGAGCGCATGTGTGAGCGAGTGTGAGTGGGTGAGCTTGTGTGTGAGTGTGTGTGAGCTTGTTTGTGAGTCTGTGAGCGTGTGTGTGAGCATGTGTGTGAGTGGGTGAGCGTGTGTGTGAGTGTGTGAGCGTGTGTGAGTGTGAGCATCTGTGTGAGCTTGTGTGTGAGTGAGTGGGTGAGCGTGTGAGCATGTGTGAGCATGCCTGTGGTGATGTCTAATGTAATACACATGGCATTACATTGATCAGCATGTGTCTTACAAAGGTTGTTCTGTTCCTCAGATTTACTCACAAAGGTCTGAAAACTGACCAAGAGCAACCAGAGAAAGAAAAAATTCTTTAGAAGAATAGGACACGTGTCCCGCTCTCATGATTCAGTCAGCTGCCTAGCGCCCTCTTCACCTTGGCTACGTTTCTTCAGGCCTGGGGTTGCACTTGTTATTTATTTAATTTTGAGCCGGGGCTTCAAGCTGCTGCTTGTTTATTTAGTGTAGTGCTGGGGATGGAGCCCAGGCCTGCACTCAGCTACATTCCTGGAGCCCTAGACTTCTGAGTTTGGCTGAACTTCATCCCGAAGCTACTCACCCCAACACAGGGCACATCCGTAATTGCCAAATAATAAAGTTCAGTAATATGAGCCAGGCCAGTGAGATGCCTCTGTGGGTAAAGAAGTGTGTCATGTGAGCCTGATAAACTGAGTGTGATCCTGGGGTCCCATGTGGAAGGAGAAAAACAATGCCACTCCCCCCATACACCACCACTGCTAATAATAATAATAATAGATACAATTTTTAAAAAGAATACAAACTCACTTATATTGTCTACATAGCTGGAAATGCTCTCTAGGGAAAAAAATCCTTTTATAAATCATGCTTAGCCACCTGGAAGCACATCTGTAAGCCCAGCCCTGGGCTGGGTGGAAACAGGTAGATCCCAGGTGGCTGCCTGGCCAGCCAGCTTAGCTGACACAGCAAGCCCCGGGGCCAGCAAGCTATCCCGTCTCAAAATGTAAGGTTAAAAGCCACAGTGAGCCGGGCGTTGGTGGCGCACGCCTTTAATCCCAGCACTCGGGAGGCAGAGGCAGGCGGATCTTTGTGAGTTCGAGGCCAGGCTGGACCGACAGCCTCCAAAACAGAGAAACCCTGTCTCATAAAAAAAAAAAAAAAAAAAAAACAAAAAACAAAAAACAAAAAAAGCCACAGTGAAAGATGCCTGTCATCAGCTGCTGGCCTACACACAGACTAGTGTGGAGTGAAGTGACCCACACACATACCTACACAACACACACACACCACTAAAAATGGGAAAGTCATGGTTCACTTCTGTAATCACTTGGGACCCTGTTTCTAAGACCTCCCCCACCCCAGCTGCTTTAAGGCATTCTGAGTCAACTATGGTTGAGTTAGTGTCTTTGCACTGAAAACAGACCTCTTCTCTCCTCAGTAAAGCTGAGGGCATAGGGGTTATTGACTTCTGTTTTACAGCACGACATAGGGAGCCTGATAGCAGCAAAGTAGAATACCCCTTAAAACTGGCTTCAGAAAGCTCCTAAAAAGAGCAAGCTGGGTTTATAAAAATATGACTCCAAAAGCCAAAATTAGGCAACTTAACCAGATTTGTAAACACTAAGGCACCTATAACTTATTTAGAATTTTCCAGCTGCTCTCTTGATTTGTAAAGAAGATATACTTGCAGATATACTGATATTTGGGATTAGAGATGTAGCTCACTGGCAGAATACTTGCCCAGCATTCGGTGCGGTGGCACATGCCCGAAATCCCAGCAACCGGAAGGTGAAGGCAGGAGGAGCAGCAATTCCAAGTGGTGGCCCTTGGTGATATATCAGGTTTGAAGCTAGCCTGGGCTATGTGAGACCTTGAGGAAAAGGAGGGGGGAGGGAGGGAGAGGGACAGGAGGAGAACAAGCAAGAAAGAAGGAAGGCGGTTTTCCTAGAGACACTAAGATGAAGCTGTCTGGATGTGCCCGATGCTGTTGCATTTGTAACTGGACTTGGGAATCCTCTAGCTGCTCACCAACAAGCACGTGGGGTGTTTGTTAGTGCACCTGGAACACTGTGCTGCCACCCGGTCAGGTGGGATAGATTTCTATACAGCAGTAACTGAAAGCTGTCTGTGTTTAGTGAAGAGAGGCAGATTGCAGAACAAAGCACATGGCATGAACCCATTTAAGTAGAATCCCAAGTGACAAAACCTATGTGCCCATGTAGAATGTTTGTAAACATGCAGAATAGGATCTGGACAGAAGCATGGCCAGCAACGTCAGGGTGAACGTGGATTGTTACTAAGAGATGTGAATTAATTTTACAGTTGAAAGCATTCTATAAAGGACTAACAGTGGGTGATGAAACCTAACAGCAGCAGGGAAATCGCTACAAATTTGAGGGCAGCCTAGTTTAAATATCAAATTCAAGGCCAGCAGGGCTACTTAGTATCTCAAGCTGATAGACTAAGTTATTTAATAACTAACGAAAGTCCCCACCCCCCCCACCCCACCCCACCCCCACATTACCCAGAAAGTACTCACTTAAAGAGGGGCTGGCTGTTGGCGGTGTGGATGTTGGCGGTGTGGTTGTTGGCCGTGTGGCTGTTGGCGGTGTGGATGTTGGCGGTGTGGTTGTTGGCCGTGTGGATGTTGGCAGTGTGGTTGTTGGTCGTGTGGTTGTTGGCGGTGTGGGTGAAGGGCATGGCCCAGACACTGCAGCTTGCACGGTGAGGTTAAGATTGAAGGTTCCATTGAGCACATATGTATGGTTCAAAGTGTGATTGTTGGAGACAAACAGACCAGTGTTGTCCCCAAAGTTCCACTTGTAGGAAATGGCAGAGTCGTTAAGGAAGTGACCGGGATCATGAATGAGGACATCAAACACGATAGGGAGGTCTCGAAGGAAGGTTTCATCGGATGAGTTCCGGTCATTCTTCTGGAACATGGTCACAAATACAGGGATCTGATCTAGAAGATGCCACAGAAGAAAAGAAGAAAACACATTGTTGCTTGACTGTGAGGGGAGGGCCACAATGATGTGTTCTGGATGACAATTAAAATGAGACCTTCTCCTATATAAACTTCAGGGTGTCTCAGCTGGGAAACAGGTGGGGTGCCACAGGACTCAATATTTCAGCTCTGCTCGGAGCCCAGATAAGTTTTACCCTAACCCAGACACTAGGTGCTGACTGTCCTAATCAACTGTTGTCCCAAGGACCTAATGTCTCGTGGTCTGCAGATGTGAGTTCACACCACGTACCTGTTATCACATAGATGTCTTTCACTTGCGCAATGGGAATGTATACCCGGCCGTGTCTTCGAAAGACAGCCACTTCCATGACCTGATGGCCGAGTGTCATATTGGCTGTGTTTACAGAAACCCGTGCTGAACACCGACCCAGTTTTTGGAAGTACTGACCTGTGGAAGATGGACATTTTAGTTATTGGTGACATGACAAGCTCACTAGACACAGCTGTTTCCGAAAGGCTAGTTAAAGACTGCCTGGAGGAGAGAGCAGGCTGGTTGCTCCAGAGAGGGACGGAGACGCTGCTGGGCTCTATGCAAAACCCGATGAGGCAGCTCTACAGTTGCACGCAGGCAACGCACACAGTCGGTTATGGTGGAAAGAGCTCTTTAGTGGGACAACATAATTAGTTCCTAACTTTCAGAAGAACGCTTTGTTAAGTTTCAATGAAAATTGTTTAATGTCATGGTGGGGTATCTGGGAGTGTTAAAAGCTCTTTATTCACATATCTACATTATATGTGTAACTATTTAAAAAGCAATTGATGTAAGTAGATGAGCAAGGCTCTGCTTAGATCTTCTGGGAGACGGCACCTCCACTTTCTAGAAGCGCTTGTACCTGAAACAAGCAAGACAGGAGAGAGGGAGCAACTGTGGGTCACAGTTGCAAAGGGGGTGCCTCCACAGACACATTTGAGTCACTCCATTTCCCCCTGCGGCCAGCCCTGAAACTCACTGGAGCTGGCCACAGAAGTGGCAGGTCAGTGAATGACAGGCTTGGGGACCTGACTAACAGGGCTATGATGAGAAAGCCAGTTTCCGACAGGTATGCTGTCTGGCCTATTCTGTGCTTGTTCAATGGACTTGCTTGGTTGATGCTGAAGGAAAAGGATGCTTGTGGATAAGGGACAAAACCATTAGAAATCTAGGATTGCTCAATTGGAGCAGATTCTAAATATGCAGTCTCAGTTGACTCCTGATGGTGTGTGTGTGTTTGGTGTGTGTGTGTTTTGTGTGTGTGAGTGTGTATGTGTGAGTGTCTGAGTGTGTGTCTGTGTGTGAGAGAGTGTGTGTCTGAGTGTGTATGTGTGAGAGTGTGTGTCTGAGTGTGTATGTGTGTGTGAGAGAGTGTGTGTCTGAGTGTGTATGTGTGAGAGTGTATGTCTGAGTGGGTGTGCATGACTTTGTAACCCAGGGCTTTTTATATGCTGGGTATGCATTCTACACAGATCCATATACTTGGTACTCTAGTGATGTACTGAGAATACAGCAGCCTTGTTAATAATGATTAATTTTGTCCCTCTTAAAGCAACACGTAACTAATAATGCAGCAAAGTGAGTGAATACCTTTTATGTTCTTGGAAAACAGAAGATAGACTATGCCAGAGGAAAAACAGTGTCTAGATTGTTCCAGACCCACACAGTGGTGTATTATGCAGCCATTAAGACAATGTAAGGAAATTTAAGTACTGTAGTCATATGCTATGACATAAAAATAAAAACGTGTATCCATTATGATCTTAAACAAGAAACAGCAATACTGAAAGCAGCATCATTTCTGGTGTTATTTGTAGATGACTTCTATATTTTGTTTGTACTCTTCTGTTTCCAAATTTCCCATAGAGAATATGCTTCTTTGACGCTCACTAATTCATTTAGAACCCTGACAAATTAGCGAGTAAACAAATGTGCAACCACCTACTGTTCAAGCCAGTATTTTGCATAGTACTGCGCTAGACTAATCTGCTGCTGTGTGAGAGACAGCCAGATTCACTTCCTCCTCATTCCCACCACTCTGTGATGTCCTGCAGACTTGTCGAGGTTAACCAGGATTTCACCTTTCCCTCACCGTTCACCTGAGTTAGCAGAGCCAACAGGGGAGCGGTGCTATTTCAGGAGAGAGTGCAGGAAGACAGTGCTAGGGTGTGATGGAATGTAAGGAGCTAAGAGAGTCTGTAAGAACAAACCGAGTGTGTGAAAGACGTAGACAAAGCCCCCTCTCCTCCTTCCGTGGGGGCGAGGGAAGGGCTTGCGGTCAGGGAACTCGAGGTACTCGCTTTGGCTGGCGTTGCCTTCCCAGTCACCATCTTCTGCCCCTGCTGTCCAGTTGTAGACATATCGGTCAGGAGTGAGTCCCAAATCTAATCAAGAGACAAACAGGTTGACGCATGCTCAGCCCTCAAGCACTTCATTTTCCCAGGACAGCCAGGGTACACGGAGAAAATCTGGTACTTGCTGCTTGCTATGTAGCCCGGGATTGGCCTCAAACTTGAGATTTTCCTGCATCAAGCTCCCAAGTGTGGGAATTACCAGCACGTGTTCCATCGTGGTCAGAATAAGCTTTTTGTTTTTTACATAGATGTTGAGTATAGCAACACACACCTGTAATCCCAGCACTCTGGAGACTGAGGCAGGAGAGTAATGAGCTTGAGGCTAGCTTGGGATAGATAGGAAAAGAGAGAGAGAGAGGAGAGAGAGACAGAGACAGAGACACAGAGAAGGAGGGAGGGAGGAAGGGAGGGAGGGGAAGAGACAATATTAAATATTTACCACTAGATAAATAATTAACCCTCATCCACACAGAATTTCGTGTTGCCCTCAAAGGGATATTAAAACAATAATAATGAGGAACACATACATCACCAGATTTACAGAAACCATGATTGGCACAGGCAGCTCCCAGGGCAGGGGCATCTTGGCTGTTTGAGTAATCTCAGTGGTTATCTGAGCTCTCCAGAGTGAACAGCCCTCACACGAGAGTTTTCCCTGATGTACTTATGCTCTTTTAATTTGGGTAATAAACGTATTTGTTTAAGAGCAAAGCAAGATCAGAGCATGCACCTTTAGCATCTGTACCAGCAGAATATTGTTTGCTTAAAATGTTAGTCAACAGAAGCAAACCTGTCAAATGGGGCCCTGGGTGGTATTGCTTTTGTGGTCAAGCAGGCAAAAATGTGAGGATCTGAGCATAGACAATGTATTCTCTGTCCAGGGGACACGAAGGACAGGCTGGGTGTGACAGTGGAGGAAACAAGTTTTGAATGTGTGTGTATTCCCGGGATGGAGCCCAGAGCTCTGCTTGTTCCAGGCAAGCGCTCGTTCGTGGAGCTTGTCCCATGTCAGTGGTAGAGCTTAAAGGTGTGTGTGTGTGTGGGGGGGTTGGCAAGAGCTGGAACCAGTGAGGGGAAGAGGGACAGGATAGGGAATTGGAGGTGGACATGATCAAAGTCCATGATATACGTATAGGAAAATATTTTGTACAGTAAATATGGGCTAATTAAAAAGGAAGGGAAACCCCACGACCACCACAACTCATGTAGGTTCCAAGGAGCAGAGAGCCAACAATTTGCTAAGGAGGGTTGGGTAGTGTTGGCACTGATGAAGGGCTGGACAGCTCCACACACCCCTTATACCTAGCTGGAGGAGGAGGGGGCAAAGTGGGGTGACGGAGCCCATGAGCATTGGGATCACGGGCGGGGCTCCAGGAGGGAGCCGGCCATCTTACCGTTTCTGCAGTTCTTCTCATAGACGATGTTGCCCTCGGCATCTTCCTTCTGGCATCTGGGGAGTACCAGGTTCACCACAAATGTGATATTGGAACCCACCAGAGCTGGTGAGTCACTGGTCAGAACTGCCTGCACACGGCCTCCTAGGGCAACAAAGAAGGGAGCTCATCCCCCCAGAAGGCCTTACACCAAAAGTGTTTAAAATGAAGTAATATCTGTCGGTAAGGACTGTGCCATCCGTATGCCCCTTGACGGTATGTTAAATTTATTTCCTGGATACCAACCTTAGCTTTCACAGTACAATATCACAGAAAAAGTAAGTCAGAGTGGTTACAGGATTTTTTTTTAATCATGGAAAGAACATTCACTGAAGAACAAAAGGGGTTGGAGAGATGGCCCCATGGTTAAGAACACTGGCTGTTTTCTCAGAGGGTTCTGGTTAAAGCCCAGAACTCACACGGCAGCTCACAATCATCTGTAACTCCAGGTCCAAGGGATCTGGTGCCCTTGGATGACCTCCTTGGGCACCAGGCACATGTGTGGTGAACAGATATACATGCAGACAAAACACAAACATGCATGCGTGCATGCACTTACACATGCACACACATACATTCACACATGCACACATGCACACGCACACATGCATACACATGCACACAATGCACACACGCATGCACACACATGCACACATGCACACGCACACATGCACGCGCACACATGCATACACATGCACACAATGCACACACGCATGCACACACATGCACACATGCATGCACACAATGCATACACGCATGCATGCACACACACACACACACATGCAATCTGCTCTTTGGATTGAGAAGGCACATGTTGAAAGTGTGTAGACTTTAACCTCAAAACCACAGGACTGGAGGCTCAGTCTTTGGCTTGTATGAAACGATACACCTTCTGGTAAGTCACACTTCCGGGGGATCAGGTCATGTGTCGGCTTTTCTGAGGTTGCCTATGCCACGGTAGTCAACAGGTTTGAGTCCAAATCTGCTTGCTCTCTAAAATACTCCAAGAGCTACGAAATGTCTAAAAGCCCAGGAGATATGGTGACATCGAAAGTGAGAATGTTGGGAGGAAGGGAGCTTGCCACATCCAGGGGCTGCTCATTTGCAGCTACAGCACGGTCATTCGTGGGACCCGAGCCCTGGAGTCCAAGGCTGTTGCCATGGTAGTGGATTTCCGACTCACCTTCCCAGGAGTTCTCCCATCTGCTGTCCCTCCTCTTCCACACCGGGTACAGGTTTTCATTCCACTCAGTTTCATCCGAAGACCAGCCACGTAACTGGCTGCGTTCTCTCATGTGACCTGGATACTGCTCATGGCCCAGCACGTCACGAAATTCTATGTCAGTGTTTGGAAAACAAAAGATTTTGTCATTCCATTTCTCATTTAGCACTTCTATGAGAACGGTTGATGAAACTTTTCATTTTAGACCATTGGGAAGCACATGTATAATATAGCCAACGTATCAAGTAAGTAAAGGTGTTTAAAAATGTCTGGCTGGGTGCAGTGTCACACACTCACTATTCCCAGCACTTGGGATGCAGAGCAAGGCAGACATTTGTGAAGCTGAGGTTAGCCTGGTGTACATAGTAATTCCCAGGCCAGCCAGAACTATGTAATGAAGCTCAGAGTTAAAAAAAATCTACTAAGGCTGGTGAGATGTCTCAGCAGGTGAGCTCGCTGGCCACCGAGACTGACAACCTGAGTTCCATCCCTAGAACTCACATAATAGGAGCATGTCCACTGATAATGTAAAGACTTATCCACTGACCTCCACACATGCCCCACCCCAACACAAATAAACACGTAAACATAAAATAAAATAAGTCTACTTAATGTAATGACAGAGATTGTGGATTTGAACCTACCATCTTTATTTTTTCTTACTTATATATTTTGATTTTTTTTAAACAAAGTCTGATGTGGTTCAGGTTGCTCTCAAACTTACTGTGTAGCCTAGGATAACCTTGAACTCCTGACGGGGCTGAGATCATAGGTGTGCACCAAATCTACCTTCTCTTGTAGTTTGGGAGATTGTAACTGGATTCTATTTTATCTCCACCACTGAATTATAAATTATATTTCTTTGTTTTGGTTTGGTTTCTCTAAAGTTTGCTGTAATTCTTTGAGAATCCTTCATAATCTTAAATTGAGTTTCTTGGCTGTTGTTTTGTTTGTTTGTTTGTTTGTTTGTTTTGGTCTTGCCTGAAAACTTTGCTGGTCTTGTGGTCTCTATGCACTTTGAACATTGTAGCAGATTGGCTGAACCTAACCCAGCAGCCATTGCCTGCCTATTCCCCTCTTTTAATCCACTTGGTAATAGATCCTTGTCTGTAACCGATCACGATTTCAAAGGCTCAATGCTCCCGCTTTCCCTGCAGTGTGAGTTGGGGAAGATGATTGTATTCCGGCTTAGGAAAGCTGAGAGAAGTCTGCTGGAGTTTCTGGGAAGTGTTCCTCCTTTACAAAGAAATCACACGAGAGATGGCCTCTGCCTTCTCTCTTAAGGACTGATTTCAGAGGCACAGTAATGGCATGATGCTTGGTCATAACAGCCATGTTTAACCATGAATATGCACATGCGAGGAAAAAGCCAACACATCAGCGGTGTCAGATTAGAATGCTGAAAGAAATAACAACTACCTAGATGACAATTCTGAGTCATTGCTCTGGGGCTGCCTGCCTGTGGTGGTAGGAATAAAAATGCCCCCATAGGTCCATAGGGAGTGGCGCTATTAGGGGGTTAAGGGGTGTGGCCTTGTTGGAGGAGGTGTGTCACTGGGGATGGGCTTTGAGGTTTCAGATGCTTAAGCCAAGCCCAATGTTACTCTCTCTTCCTGATGCCTGTGGATCCAGATGTAGAACTCTCAGCTCCTTCTCCAGAACCATGTCTGCCTGCATGCTGCCATGCTTCCCACCATGATGATAATGGACTCTGAACTGTAAGCCACCCCAATTAAAAGCTTTCCTTTATAAGCACTGCTGTGATCATGGTATCTCATCACATCAGTAGAAACCCGAAGACACTGCCTCCGGGCTGAATGTATAAGACAAAAAGCATCTTTGACTTTTCTGTTCCAGCCCAAAGCTTAACTGTGTGACCTGAGGCAGCCTCTAACCACACAATGTCTACAACTGTTTGCTCATCTGTTCATGTGATCCTGCATCTTTGCCATGAACTCTTGTAGACCAGCAACCGTCCTCATGTCTTAGATGCTGGGAGGAATACCATGAGGTATGGCATTTAGTGGATACTCATACATAGAATCCATCTTGAATGCCTGCACTAACCTGTTTCTTTTGTTCAAGATAGTATCTCTTACATGGCGAGTAGGATGATGGCACAGGATGCTTAGAACTCTGGGTCCCCCATAGTTTAGGCAAATGCTTACGTGTTAGGGAAACTGGGGTACATTCCCTGCCCAGTCTGTGTGTGTGTGTGTATGTGTATGTATATGTGTGTATGTGTATGTGTGTATGTATGTGTGTATGTGTGTATATGCATGTATATGTGTGCATGTGCATGTGTGCATGTGCATGTGTGTATGTGTGTGCATATGTGTGTATGTATATGTGTGTATGTGCATGTGTATATGTGTGTATATGTGTGTATGTGTATGTGTTTGTATGTGTGTATATGTATGTATATGTGGGTATGTATGTGTGTATGTGTGTATGTATATGTGTGTATGTGCATGTGTGTATGTATGTGTGTATATGTATGTATATGTGTGTATGCGCATGTGTGTATGTGTGTGTATATGTACGTACATATGTGTATGTATATGTGTGTGCATGTGTGTGTGTATGTGTGTGTATGTGTGTATGTGTGTATATGTATGTCTATGTGTGTATGTGCATGTGTGTATGTGCATGTGTGTGTGTCTGTGTGTGTGTGTGTGTGTACAACTTCAGGTGCCATCCTCAGAAATGCTGTCTAGAGCTCACCAAATAGGACAGACAGGCTGGCCAGCCAGCCCCATAGATGCCCCTGTTTCTCCCTTCTTTACAGTAAGAGATGGGTGTGTGCCCTGTTTCTCCCTTCTTTACAGTAAGAGATGGGTGTGTGCCCTGTTTCTCCCTTCTTTACAGTAAGAGATGGGTGTGTGCCCTGTTTCTCCCTTCTTTACAGTAAGAGATGGGTGTGTGCCCTGTTTCTCCCTTCTTTACAGTAAGAGATGGGTGTGTGCCCTGTTTCTCCCTTCTTTACAGTAAGAGATGGGTGTGTGCCCTGTTTCTCCCTTCTTTACAGTAAGAGATGGGTGTGTGCCCTGTTTCTCCCTTCTTTACAGTAAGAGATGGGTGTGTGCCCTGTTTCTCCCTTCTTTACAGTAAGAGATGGGTGTGTGCCCTGTTTTTGTGTTTGCCCTGCTGCATATGGAGCTCAGGCTTGTGCCTGTGAGGCAGGCACTGTGCCCACTGAGCCATCTCTTAACCTCTTATTTCTGTCTCAACAGAGAGGCAGAGCAGTGGGAAACAGCATTGTGGGGGGGGGGTCACGTGCATGATCTCGTCGTGTGGAAAGGGTTAAGCTGCCCCATGCAGTCTCACTTTAGAGATGAAGACATCTAGGTCTAGGGAGATCGGCTTCACCAGGGTCATCTTCCGTCTAGGGCAAAAGGAGAGTCACCTCCTTCAGCTCTTCTTCCTCAGATCCCGAGGAAGACGGTTTCTAGAGATGCAGGCAAGGTACAGATAGGGCTGGGGGGTGACCCAGTGTATGGTGCTTGCCTGGCATGCAGGGGCCCTGGCTTTGAACTCCGGCACCACCAGAAAAACAAAAAACAACACTGACAAAACCACACAAGTGGATTCTCTGCTCTAAACTTCAGAAGTCAAAGGAAAATACATCTGGGTGGTGGCACACGCCTTTAATGCCAGCACTAGGGAGGCAGAATTAGGTGGATCTCTGTGAGTTCGAGGTCAGCCTGGTCTACAGAGGGAGTTTCAGGACAGCAGGCCACACAAAGAAACCCTGTATTGACAAAAGAAAAAAGAGAGGAAGGAAGGAAGGAAGGAAGGAAGGAAGGAAGGAAGGAAGGAAGGAAGGAAGGAAGGAAGGAAGGAAGGAAGGAAGGAAAGCACAGGGAGCAGCGGAGGAGCAGGGAAGTCAGAAGCAAACCTGTTCCATCTACCCTTAGATAGTGTGTGCATCTTAGCAGCCATGTCAGGGAGCTCACAAATGCTCCAGCTGCAGGAGATCTGGCGCCCTCTTGTGGCCCCTGCAGGCACCACCTCCTACAATAAAATAAATCTGTCTGAAGAAAAAAAAAAGCCAAAAAAGCAAAAACACACAATAGAGAAAAGACACATTTTAAAAAGCAGCAAGCAGCCGGGCGTTGGTGGCGCACGCCTTTAATCCCAGCACTCGGGAGGCAGAGGTAGGCGGATCTCTGTGAGTTCGAGGCCAGCCTGGTCTACTGAGCGAGTTCCAGGACAGCCTCCAAAACAATACAGAGAAACCCTGTCTCGAAAAACCAAAAAAAAAAAAAAAGCAGCAAGCAAGCCCGACGTTGGTGGCACACACCTTTAACCCCAGCACTGGGGAGGCAGAGGCAGATGGATCTCTGTGAGTTCGAGGCCAGCCTAGTCTACAGAGCTACACAGAGAAACCCAGTCTCAGGGGGGAAAAAACAAAAAGCAATTCAAATTTGAAGACAGGAAAGGACACACGAGCACATTACAGCAGATGTGCAGACATCGGACACCAGAGGGCCATTGATGGGCCTCCCGCAGACCTAGCAGGGTCACCCTCTCTGCTAGTGAGAAGTTGAAAAGGTGAAGCCTTCCTGCTAAACTCTAATTAAAGTCAACATGTCCTCTTTTTCTTATTCTTGAGACAGGGTCTCACTGTGTAGCTCTGGCTGTCCTGGAACTCACTTTGTATACCAGGCTGACCTCAAACTCAGAGATCTCCCTGCCTCTGTCTCCTGAGTGCTGGGATTAAAGGCATGTGCCACTCTGCCTGGCATAATTTGTCTTAATTGTATTCTTTGGCATGAATCACAGAGAAATGAAACCTGTTTTTTTTCTTTTCGTTTCTTTTTCTTTTTGAGACAGGGTTTCTCTGTGGTTTTGGAGGCTATCCTGAAACTAGCTCTTGTAGACCAGGTTGGTCTCAAACTCACAGAGATCTGCCTGCCTCTGCCTCATGAGTGCTGGGATTAAAGATGTGGGCCACCATCAACTGGCGAGAAATGAAACTTGTAACCACACAAAAATTCACACATGAGAAATTCATAGCATCTTTACTCGGAAGAGCCCAACTTGGAATACCTCGAGTGCCCTTCAGTGGGTGGGGGTTAAAGTGGTTATGTCCTGACCATGAACTACTTTCTACTCTGGAAAAAAAAGTCTATTGATGCAGCAGCAATATCAATACATCCCCAGGAAACTAAGAGAAACCCCAAGCCAATGTCTAAAAGAACACACTGTAAAATTCCGTTGTGTGGCATCCTGGAAATAATGTAATAAATAATAAGACTATTTAAAGGACAGATTCCTAGTGGAACTGGAGCTGGGTGGAGGAAGGTATTTGGTTTTAAAAGGGCATGGGATTGTTGTGGTGGCGCTGGGCATGTTCCATACTTCGTTCGACTGTCTCCTGGTCAGGAACTTGGCTGTGATATTTGGTTGTGTTTTGTCCAATTTTGCCCTCAGGCAAACTGAGTAAAGGTTATATTGGACCTTGTCTGGATTATTTCTTTCAATTTTGAATGCATGCACAGCTGTCTGAAAACATAGAAGCTCAACTGAAAACCAGATAAGCCCAATAGCAAACAAACTTTAACGTCGGGCTGGGTCTGCAGGGGGATGGCAGTTGAGCGTTCCCCTCTTCACTCGGGCTCCCTGACATCTGGGCTGCTCACTCCCTACCCTAGAAGCGCTTCTCCCGCCTCCTCACCATAGAAGTCAGGATTGCCAACTCCTACAGGTCTTCTTGCTCCTTGTGTCTGGAATGTTTAGTCCAGACTCAAGGATGAACCCAAGAAAGCCCGGGGCTTTGAGACAGATTGACAGCCCTGTTATTACATTTCTGGCGTTTTGTTTGGTTGTTTTTGTTTTGTTTTTCCGAAGCAGGGTTTCAGTATATAGCTCAGGCTGCCCATGAACTCACCATGTACACTAGGTTGTCTCACGGAGAGATCTATTTGCCTCTCCCGAGTTCTGGGACCATCAAAGGTGTGAGCCACTTAGCCTGGCTTTGGCTGCTGTTTTACTGAGTAGAGCCTGTGGGGTTTTGGTGAGAGGACTTTAATAGCTGACTTCTATTCTTCCTCCAGGCTCTTAAGAGTCTGTCCGCGGGAGGTTCTCGGGGGAGTAGGGGAGGGGGGCGCTCAAATCAGTTCTTAAGAGTTGCCATTGGGTATGTGTTCTGACCAGGCACCTTTGCTAGCCGATCTCCCAAGACTCTAGAACCCACTTTTGCAAAAGAGGAAAAGGAAACTTAGCGAAGCGAACTCACTCGTGGTCCAGCCTAGCAGCCGGCACGAAACTAACTCCGTCCTACTCCACACTCTGGCAGGAAGGACAGCGGATGAGGTGGCATGCACCCCCTTCCACCTGCATTCTGGGTGACCCAGGGCGAATTCCTGGCCCTCTCAGTGGCAGGGTTTCTTATCTGGGGAAACCCAGATCACGAGGTCCGATTCCCTCGCTTTGTGAAGGCGACACAGCTAGACACAAGGTGGGACATCCCACTTGGCACCCCTCAGACTGCTGTCTCTGAGTTTGAAGTCCAAACCCAATAGGGCGGGGCACCCCTAGTCTAGGGCGTGCCGGGCTTCGAGCACTCGGGCCGGGTTGTGGTGGGACTGGGCCGCTTGCCGGCGTGCGGGGCGATCTTCTGGTGCAGGGTTCCCAGCTGTTCCACTCTGCCTGACCAGCCAGGACGACCTAAGAGAGGGCCTGGTTTGCACGACAGGAGGCAGGGAAGATACGGTGGCCCGCTCCTCTGGAACTGTCCCAGGTCACCGAGGTGGAGTTGGGGGTTGCCCGGGTTGGCTGGGAGCCAGGTGGCCTCACTGGGGCTCAGGGAAGATGCCGGTTCCGGCTGGTCCCTGTCCCCTGGAAATGAGGTGGAGTGGCTCTTTTACACACTAGTTCTGCTAAGCACAGGACAGCCACACCCCGGCGGGGACAAGTGGGTGTGCTGTAACACTGCTCCTCCCGCGCTGCGCACCAAGGATGCTGGACCAGGATGCCAAACTCTGGAAGACGCCACTGCCACTGACTGGGCTTTGGTGGGGCGCCTGCCACAGAGCCCACCCAGGGTGGAGGCAGCTCGTCCCTCGGTATCCTCACTGGAGCCGCAGTGTGTGCAGGGGGTAGGATTGGGGAGCTCTGCAAAGTTAGCAAGAGCCTCATCTAAGAGCTGCGCCCTGTGAGCGGGACGCAGACGAGGGTGGTTTGGGAGACTTGCTTTATTCTTGGTTGTACAGGCTGTACTCCCGCTTCCAGCTACAATAGGGTCAGGGCGGAAAAGGCTTCCAGTGGCCGCGTGACTTTTGTTCTCTATGAGCCCCACGCAAATAACACAGTCCCCGCATTCGAAACAGACCCCCAAACTCCGCACGAGGACCCCCTACCCATCGCTTGTACCAGCCAATGCAAACGCCCGGAGAGGGCGGGACTCACGCTTGGCCTCCTGGAGCGGCAGTCCCGAAGCCAGCAGCAGAAATCCCAGGACCCCGAGGACACTTTCCATGCTGAGTCCGAGCGCCCCGCAATCAGTCAGGGCCTGACTCTCACTCCCCAAGCCCATGCACCAGGAGTCACGGTGTCAGCCTCCTTCCTGCACCCCGCTCCGTTTTTATGAAATACCGGGCCTGGGAAAGATCATGTGATGTTTTAAGCAGTGTGGCTTGATCTCTCGAATTCCACCTCTTATGAACTCGTGCTCATGACTCACTGGACTCTGGCGTCTATTTATTGACTTCGGATGCACGGTATTTTCATTTTGTGATTCCACATTTGCTTGTCTCTTTTCTTTTCTCCCCCGCCTCCCCTTTCCCTAGCTTAAAGGGAACTTCCTAACACCCTATTCTGACATTCTGCCTTCTTGAACCTTGTGGTTCGGCCCTTGTTTCCCTGCTCATAGGACACATCTTTCCAGAATTTGGGCAGCAGCCACCAGCTAGCTCGCCCAGGGCAGGCAGACACCAAGCTGTCATTCCAATTAGATGCCACTGTGCTATAAATACATGGATACAAACATTATGTGCTGGGTCAGAAATTGGGAGGTAGGGACAGCCCACAGGCTTCAAGCGGTGGAGAAATGTACCACACAGTCGTTTATGACATAACCACTGGACTCCATAGTATGCTCAGAACAAACTTCACCATTTTTGGTATCTGCTCTCAGCGTTTGTGTGTGTTATATAACTTCAGGTGGACTGTGTGAAGCATACTGCACATTACCATATAGCAAGCATTGAGTGTAGAAACAACCTTGTCTGGAACATAAATTTCGCACACTCAAGTCATTTCTGTTTAGACAATGTGGAAGTGTGGCAATGTGAGCCTCTCACTGGTGTGATGGTCTCTAAGGCACATCCCTACGGCTGTTTTCGGGGCAAGGGAAGTCCTGGTTATGGTACACACTGACTTATGGTCCATTGTAACACGGGGACTGGGGCTGGTATGTGGAAATGAATCAGAAATGGAGGATTCTACACATTCACAAGGAAGCAAAAGTCTCCAACACAGAGAAGTGAAAAATGGAAATACTGGCTCTATGTAAATAATACATAGAGCTCTGTTTGCTTTATACAACACATATAACTTTTCAATTTAAAACAAACACTAGGCATTGTGGTGAACTCCATTAATCCCAGCACTCAAGAGGCAGAAGTACCTGGACTTCTACGTGTTCAAGGCCAGCTTGGTCTATATAGCAAGTTCTAGGTCAGCTAAGGCTACACAGCGAGTCCCTGACTGAAAAACCAAAACCAAAACAAACAAACAAACAAACAAAAACCAGAAAAAGCAAGCTTTGGAGCTGGTGAGATGCCTTTTTTGGTGCGATGAGGGATCTGTGTTTAAATAAATTGGACATGTTAAACTTTTCTGTAACAAAAATCTTAGTTTTGTTTAGGAAGCTTCAACAACCAAATTATCTTTTACTTTTTGCCTTCCCTGCTCCATCAGGAGAGGTGGCAGCCACTAGGGTAGGAGTCACAGGTTAACTGCCGGAGGTAAACTAGAAATGGGAAGTTTTCTTCCTCCTCCTCCTCCTTCCTCTTTCCTCTTCACCTTTCTCCTCCTCCAGAGGGTTGGGTTCAGTTCCCAGCATCGACATGGTGGCCCACAAACATTTGTAACTCCAGTTCAAGGAATCTCACAGCTTCATCTGCGCTCCTCAGGTACCAGGCATGCTTGTACTCCGAAGAACTGTAAACAGGACAATCAGACAATGGCAACATGAGGTACCCAAGGCCAGGTCTGTTGGGGAGAAGGAATATTCATACCTTGTTTTATTAGAAGAAAACCATTCTGCAAAAAGTTAGGAATAATTCACTGAAAGAAAGGAAACATCTGGACTCTTTGGTGTTACAGTTACTCTGTTTAGAAATGGTGTTGAGGGAGGTGAGCTATAGTCACCTCTAGAGAAACAGCCCCAAGAGCCTCTCAGCACCTTGAACGCTGTCCCTCCTTCAGGTGGCTACTGTCTTGGCTTTCACCGTGCTTGGGATGAGACGGCTGAAGCAGACCCCCAAGGGACACACAAAGTGGCAGGCTGCAGCCGAGCCTAGAGGTCCCAGCTGGACCTCAGTAGCTCTGTCTGGCCTCTTACTTGCTGTGCTGTTGAGGATGACCCTGGACTTCTGATCTTGCTTCTACCCCCTAAATACCTCGATAACAACTGTGCGCGACCACACCTACGCAGTGCTCGCGCTGGGGGGCTAACCTGGGGCTTTGTGTGTTCTAGGCAAGCGCCTTACCGACTCACCTTTATCCCTGCTCCCTCAACTAGCATCCTTTAATTTCAGAAGTCGCCCCGTCCAAACCAGGGTTTTTAAAATGAGATCACAAATCTAGTTAAGATCTAGTGCACCAACCCTTACATTTTTTTCTTTTCATGTGTATGGGTGTTTTGCCTACTTATATGTTTGTATACCACATGTGTGCCTGCAGCCTGTGGAGGTCAGAGGAGGTGTCAGATCCCGGAACTGGAGTTGAAGATGCTTGTGAACCACCATGTGGCATGTACTCTTAACTGCGGACCCATCTTTTTAGCCCACAGACCCCTAACTCATAGTTACTCTAGAGTTCCTTTTAACAAATGGCCAAAACTCAGAGGCTTAAAATAACTGAAGTTTATTAACTCACTGGAAGTCAGAAGTCTGAAATGGGTCTCTGCTAGGTCCAAACCCAAGTGTCAGCACAGCTCTAGTGATGAGTCGACTTCCTGGCCTCTTCTCTAGTCTCTGGCTCCTAAACTCTCTCTCAACATCCATCTCTGGTAATGGAATCTTTCTCACATTTCAGTCTTCTGGTGTGGACTCTCCTGACCCTGTTATTTCTTGGGGCTCACCTGGATGTTCCGGAACCTTTTCCTGTCTCAAGGTCAGTGGTCAGACACGTTTGATGCAACTCCACTCCTCACCTTTTGGTATTTGCCACATCCCGGATTCATAGGTCCTGTGGGTTAGGATTAGACATGTCTGGGGGCCATTATCCTTCCTCACAGTTATTCAGAAGGTGGGTTGCAAGACAAAATCATAGAGGTGGGTTATTGGAATGGTGTTGGACAATAACCCCCAAATTTCACATGCCTGTTGAGACTTGTGGCAGAGTAGGAAGGTAACAATAAACTCAGAATAAAGGGATCAGCTCCCAGAGAGAGGCAGTCCATGCGATTGCCAGGCCATAATGTGGGCTTTTACATGTGTCATGAGCAGAGTCACGGTTTTCAGATTTAAGCATTGGCGGATGACTAAGAGACTTCTGCTGTGTCCAGTTCTTGGCTCTCTCCTGCTCAGTGACTCTCTGCATGAATGAGTAATTAAAGGCCTTGATTCCAGGGCTCATGGAGCCTACTCTTCCCCCCATTTTCCCCCTGTATCTTCAGAAAGCGGGAGAAAAAGAACACACGGGCCACCATGACCTTTCAAGAGGTCCACTGCTAGCCTGTCTTCTATTACTACATTTTGTTTGTGTGGCGTGCATGTGTGCACAAGTATGTCTGTGTGCCACACTGTAGGTGTGGAGGTTGATTATTCTACCTTGTGAGTTCCAGGGACTGACTCAGGGTGTCAGGTTTGGTGGCAAGCAGCTTTTCATGCTGGGCAACCTGGAACCTGTGTCTGTCTGTCCCTCCTTGCCTGCCTGCCTGCCTGCCTGCCTGCCTGCCTGCCTGCCTCCCTCCCTCCCTCCCTCCCTCCCTCCCTCCCTCCCTCCCTCCCTCCCTCCCTCTCTCCCTCTCTTGACAGGATCTTTCTGTGGAATCTGGACTGACCTGAAACTCTCAGTCTTTTTGCTTTATCCTGCCAGTGGCTGAGATCAGGTGAGGGACAAGCACACATCCCTCCTTGTTTTATTGACACTCACCCCTCATACAACTGTTGCTGTTGTTTTTCCAGACAGGGTTTCTCTGTGGCTTTGGAGCCTGTCCTGGAACTCGCTCTGTAGACCAGGCTGCCCTCGAACTCACAGAGATCCGCCTGCCTCTGCCTCCCAAGTGTTGGGATCAAAGGTGTGCGCTACCACTGCCCGGCTGGATTATTTTTAAGGCAGTCCTAACCATCATTGGCATGTGGCTTTAAATGAAGTCTTGTAGAGAGAATGGTAGAGTTTGAGAGGCTGGAAAGAAGTCAGATGTGTTTCTAGGGAGAGTGGGGGCTGGTTCTTGAGTCGTAAGTTGAACTGACTAAAAGCTTAAACATATATGGGAAGAGCAGCCAGACTGAGGGGCCATGAACAGAAGAGAGACTATTCTTCCAGGTCTGGGCTCAAGCAGCCGCGGCTGGCCTGGAACCTGACGTGTGGCTGCGGGTGACCTTGAACTTCTGTCCTCCTCCTTTTTCTATTTCCCAAACACTGGGACTCCAGGTTTGTGCCACCACATCCAGTTGTCTCGGGTGCTGGGACTGAATTTGGGGGCTTCCTGTACACTAGGTGAGCATTCCACCAACCGAGCTACAACCCAGCCCCGAGAAAAAGAATATGGAAGAATAAAGTATCAATCGCATATTGTACCAAGTGGGAGAAGTCACACATAAAAGATCGCAGAATTCCATTTGCAGCAAAACTCACAACAGACAGGTTTACAGAAACAGGAGGTGGGTTGGTGGCTGCCAGGGACTGTGGGGAAGAGGGAACTGGGTGACTAAGGGATGGCTCTGTTGGGAGTAGGCAGAGGTGCTGGCTGTACGATGTTGGGAATGTACAAGAAGCCAATGGCTTGTTCAGTTTAATCAACTAATATTTTGCTTTGAGAGAAAGCCTCATGTAGCTCAGGGTAGTATTGAACTTGCTATATAGACGGTAGATGAGGCTAGCCTTGAAGCCTCCTCTTCTCCATTTCCTGTGTTAGGATTACAGGACTGCCTCACCATGTCTGGGCTTGAGTTGTTTACTTCAAAATGGTTAATTAAGGGGGCTGTGGAGATGGCCCGGGGGGTGAGAGTGCTTGTTGCACAAACACAAGGACCTGAGTTCAATCCCCAGCACCCACATAGAAAGCTGGGTATAACCACACACCTGTATCTTGAGAGCTGAGGTGGTGGTGAAGATATGGAGACCCATGGAGCCCTTGATGTCCAGCCAGTCTTGCCGAAATGGCAGGCCTTAGGAGGGAGTAAGAGAGTAGGACACACAGTACTCCTTTGGTGCTAGCGCATGTA